GTTCAGCATCTCCTGCCCTGAGACCTGGGGACCACTACCCACCACGCTCACCACATACGGGTCACCACGTACTGCCATATCTCAGGCGTGCATCTTCCTGCGTCCACATTTAGGAGGTGGATCTGCTTCCCCCGGCGGGGACAGTGGCTGGTAAAGCGCTGTTTTAACAGGGCTGGGGAGCTAGAAAGCATCTCTGCCCCTGAGGATGACCTTTGAGAAATAAGCCCCAGAGGTCTTGTTTAACACTGGTGACAAGTGGATCATCCTAAGGGGAAGTGAAAATACATATGCAGAGATTTGGGGTGGTTTTGGTGGCAGGCATTAGCTGTATGCAGCGAAAAAGGGCTGTTGTATTAGTCTGTAATTTGGAAATGGAAAGCCTGGATGATCCTGGCTGGAGGTTGTGTTGCTGTGAGGGCAGTTCAAGGGCTCAAGCACAGCCCGGCAGACAAAAGCATCCGCTGGTTGGGAAGCCCCAGGCCCCATCATGCAGGAAAAGGAGATGTGGAGTGCGTTTTCTTTAATTGCATTTAGAAGCAAATTCTGAATTAAAGGTGAGGTGTGCGGTGAGCCCTGTAACTCTCACACTGGATGTGGATGCACGCGTGTGTTTTATATTGTATTTAGGAACAACTGCCAAGATAAAGGGGAATAAAGGAAGCTTCTTTCTTCTCCCTGCAGTCAGACTGTGCTTTGCAGCCGGCTGCCCCATGGGACCGGCAGCGTGGCTGCTCATACTGATGTGCTAACGATCCTTGAGAAGATGCTGGGTAGCTCAGCATCCCCACGTGCACGGACACCCAAAATCGGCGGGTGGGGAGAGCTTTGTGCTGGGGATGCTCGGGAAAGCTGGAGACCCTTAAAACAGCATCATTCTCCAGGTTGTGCAGCTCCTCTTCCCAGCGCTGGAAAGCATCACTGCTCCTTACACGGGCAGCTTATGGCTTGCTTCTTGACTATTTTCTGAGCTCCTTGGCATCAGGCAGTGCTGCTGGCTGGTGATTGAATTAGGGGAGCTGCAGCCCTATCTTGCTCAGCCAGCTTTGGTTCCAGTAAGGAGTAATCACCAGAGTGTTTTCGCTCAATCCCACAGAGCCCAGAGAGGCTGAAAACGGGAGCGCAGTCAGCGGAGGGCGGCAGGGATGAGCAGAGCCCTCTCACGTGAAGCCCCTGCGCCTGTCGGCTCCCTGGGCAGCCCTGCTGCATCCCTGCCCCGGGCACGGCGCACTGTGAGCACTTGCTCGTTTGCTGCGCTCGTGAGATGCACTGACGTCCCGGGGTCACTCGTGTGATCCCCGTGTTTGGAGCGGGGGTTAATCACAGCCTGTCCGTATTCCTGGCTGACCGTTCCTTGCCTTTTATTAATCTCTCCGGCTGTGTCCTTGGACCAAGGCATAGCCCATCGCAGAGCAGCTGTAAAGCCGTCTCCTGCGTCAGCCGAGCAGCCTGGTGCTGCTCCCAGCAGCGCAGGCATCTTCCTGGGTGAGGTTTGCAGTATCGAGTTTTCTAAGAGCTGGTGGTGTCCAGGGAGCAGAGGGAATGGTGGGTCGACACACTGGGGTGCTGGAACCGAGTTGGTAGCGCCTTGACGCCTGCAAGCGAGCTGGAATCCCACAGACTGTGAGGAGCACATATCCAGAGAGGGTGTGCTGTCCCTGTGGGTCTTTGAGAGCAGGCTGAGATGTAGGTGAGCTAAACTTCGGGCAGGCAACAACTGGGTGACCCTTGTAGGTTCCTTCCGTTCCTCCTTTTTCCGGCGATTGCCAATCAGCCTCTTTTAAAATAGCTCTGTTTGGGCCACAGCACAGGCCAGGGCACCCCAAATCACCGTTGCTATTTGAAAATCTGCATGGCAGTGTGTTTGTGCATCAGCAAAGGGGGTCCTTGCAGCAGAGGAAGCGGTGGGCAGGGACAGCACTGACCAGCTCTGCTCTCTTTCAGGTTTCTTGTCCTTCCTGTGGTTTGTAGCCTTCTGCTTCCTAGCAAACCAGTGGCAACGGACGACGATGAGCATAGGGGTTTCGCAAGGAGCAGATGCCGCCCGGGCAGCGATCACCTTCTCCTTCTTCTCCATCATCGTTTGGGTAAGCGGAGCTAAGGTGGGAAGAGGAGAAATGAAACCTGTTCTGGGCTCAGTGCTGAGCTGGGAGGAGGAATTTGGGGCACAGTTTGGAGAAGTGAATCCTGGTGGGCAGCAAGGGGCTCTACTGAGAAAACCTGCGGTCCCTCCAAATAGAGATGAAACCTGTGGTTTCTTACCCAGGAAGCATCAGCTCTGGTCCTCTCTTGCTGGGGAATTCCAGACTTCCCTTCTCCTGTGGCTGGAAAGTTGCGTTCCCATCGAAAACGTGTCACCAGCCACGAGCTGCCCTCATTTCAGGGCCTCATTAGACCCCCGGGAACGGCTTGGTTGGAAGCAAACGAGTTCCCAGGAGCAGATCACCGCAATGAGCCGGTCTCACGGGATGGCAGGGGGATTTTGGGAGCTCTCAGGCTCGTGACTCACCCTCGGGGGACTCCAGGCTGGCTCCTCTGCTGCCCGCCCCGGAGGCAGGGGCTTGCAGAAACCCCCTTTGCTCCTGCTTTTAGGCTCTGTGCATCCCTGGGGCCGCACAGCGGCAGAGGGACATCTGCCAGGGGTGTGCAAAACCCCGTGGGGCTCCTTGCCCACAGCTGGACCCTGCATGCACCTGGGGGTGCCAGCACTGCCCGGGGGGGTCTCCTGCTCCAGAGGCTGCATGTGGAGGAGTAGGGATGGCCCCTGTGTCATCTCCACCCCCCCTCTGGCTTTTCATGGGTAGAGAGCACCCGAGATATGCTGTACTTCCATATTGCCCTAGAAGAATTGGGGCAAAGGACAGTCTGAGGCTTTCCAGCAGCAGGTCTGTCTTCAGTTCCTCGCCTGTTTAGCTGCTCCCTACTCTGTTATTATCCAAATAAATCTCTTTTAATCCCGACTCCCTCACAGCTCTTCTCCATGGCTGTATTGCCAGACTGACCATTTAATGCGGACACGAGGGAAGGGACCTGGGTGGGATGCTCTGCCCCATCCCATCAGTGTCTGCTCCCACCCCAGGGAGGGCAGTGGGGACACCGGTCCCCTGCCCCGGCACGGAGGCCGGCTGGGCTGTGGGGTCACACCAGGAGCCCCTCCGTTGGTACCTTTAATACCAGATGCTCTCCTGGATCAGCACACAACCGGCACTGGGGAGCAGGCGCTGGGCAGTGTTTGGGCAGCCATTCTCAATGTCTGCGGGTGTTGGGTTTTTTTTCCCCCCCTGAGCCTGTCATTTATAAACTAATTGAATTGTTAATGAAACATCCTCAAATAAGACCGAGTGTGGTGAGCTCGCAGCTCTGCCACCTGCGTTCCCCACGGTTTGTGACCTGAATACTGGCAACCTGGAAGAGGGTGAAGGAGTCTCGGCAGAACTGACCTATTTTGCTGGCCCGGGACTTGGCAGCTTTCCCTCCCTGCAGCGGATGGGTTTATTGGTGCCAATGGTGCCAAATCTGCACGGCTGGGGACCTGAGCCCAGGCTGCGACCCCCACCCCAGACAAAGATTTGGTGGGGGTCAACCTGTCACATGGAAATGGCATCTGTAGCATTAGGGGTTGTGGTTCGGGATTGTTTTAGCTCTTGGTTATAGTGGAGCAGGGCTGGAAGCCGCTGGGGATGCTGCGATGCGCTCGGCGCTTTGCAGTGAGCTGGGGGGGACACAGGGTCCTGGGAGGACACAGGGTCTTGTCTGTGGCGTTTCCATCCCCCCCTAACCCTCCTCCATCCGGCGGCAGGTCGCGCTGGCGGTGAAGGCGCTGCAGAGATACCGCCTGGGGACGGACATGTCGCTCTTTGCCACCGATCAGTTCGCGGCCGACCCCAACGCGGCGTACCCCGGCTACCCCACCGGCAGCGGCATCGAGAGCACAGAGACCTACCAGAGCCCCCCCTTCACCGAGACCTTAGACGCCAACCCGAAAGGTTACCAAGTGCCAGCGTACTGAAGGGCGAGGGCCGCGTACCAAGAGACCGAGTCTTACGGTGCAGTACACATAACTGGTTGATTGCAAATGTATTCAGTCCCATTTCCTTAATGTGGCAAGTCAGTGCTGGGTTCCTTACTATTAGCTAGTTGTGCAGTGAATTCTGTACAGTGGTATTGGTTCTTGTCTTACCTGTCCAAGGGTTTTATAAAAGCAGTGTTCCCTCTAAGTCAGAAGGAAGGAAGGTTGCTACCCACATCACCTACACGTGGTGAAAGATGACTAAATGCCCTCTCTGAGGTTTGACACCGGGCAGTCGGTGGTTGGGTTCTGCTGAGCGCCCGGGAAAGCCCAGAATACCTTTTCCTGTTAGAAAACACAGTAGCTGAGGAGTTGTTATTTATCTCGTTCTTCCAGAGCTAACACAGAACCGGTCTCGTGGTGGCGAGGGTGGGTGGGCGGCACTGGGGAGGTCAACCCCGTGCCGCTCCCGCTGCAGAGCTTTCCTGCACATGTTCCATGGAAAGTGCCAAATTCGCAAAGAAATAAGTGGCGTCTGTGTTACTTTTATTTGTATATACTAACTGTACAAAAAAAAAAAAAAAATCCAAACAGGTGTTTCAAACTTAGGTTAGGATGCAAGCGGCATCAGGGAGGCACAGCGGGTTGGGGGTTAAGTTAAATATCCAAATTGCTTCTGTGCTTCAACAGGGTTCTGGTTGAGAATGTAAAGAGTTACTGTTTGAGACTGGAAACCAGTTCCGCAATAGTTGGCTGCTAATTAGGAATAGCCTTGTATCAGCATGAAATACGGCGTGTTGCAGTTCCACTTCTTCACTGGGGGGGTTGGGAAAGTTTGAAAATTTACAAATAGTTTCTGGTTGGCAATGCTGAGCACTTAGTCATGCTCAAACCCCGAGCTGCCAACACAAGAAGGGTGGGTGTCTCCATCACTCAAAAGTCCAAGTCAATTAGGGGTGGCATTGAACTTGTATTTTTATACACCGTCTAGTCGCCAGCTGCAGCAGAACCTCAGGTGTGGATGTACATTTTACCCTGCGGTCTCTAGAAATGAGGAATTCAGAGAATTGAAAAGACTTTAGAGGCATTGAAGTCCATCGTATGGGGGCTCACGGTCCCGTGTTTGCAAATAGTGGGAGAAGAGAGTGCATGTAAAATGCCTGGGAAAGAGGCTGAGTTTTGGTTTTCAGCCCAAAATCCCTGCCTTGCCAAAAACAACGCAGTGTGCAAAATCCAGTAGATCCATGTCAGCAACCTGCCTGCTTTCCCTGCCCGCGCAGTGGCAGTGATCTGAGCTATTTGTCCCTAAGGACCGAGCAAAGGAGCTGAAACTTGAATTCCCAACCACCTTGGTGGCAGCTCCATCCTTAGAGGCTCCCGGCTAGCCGGGCTTTCGCCTTGCCGGTTTACGCCGGCAAAAGTTGCCTGTTGCCTTCTGACCTCGTGCCAAGCAATAGTTACCGCGCTGCCCCAGCTCTCCTTGTAGCAAAACCACCCAGCAGGTTTTTTTTTTTTTGTCATCATTAACACAGCTCATTTCTGCTGCTAAATTGCAAATAAATGCATTAATTAATAAGCAGCAAATCTCATCGTGAGCAGTCGTTATCAGTGACAAAGTGCATTCCCTCGCTCCCCTACTATTCAGGCCGGGTTAAAATGTGCATTTGCAGCGAAGGTCGAGCTTTGCTGCCGCCGAGCTCCTCCCGCTCGCCTGGCACCACCAGAGCCACGCCAGGATTTTTCAGGCAGCATTTCCCAACTCAGACACTTCTCCAACCCCGCTGCAGCTTCCCCACGCAGCGCGGCTGCGCGCGGTGGCACCGAGACCTGCCGTCCCACCGTGGTCCCCACCATGGGCTTGCCCGACAGCGATAGCAGAGGTGATGTCTCACTCTTTGCACCCACTTTGAGGTCCAAACGCTATTGGGGTACGTAGCGCTCAGCCCCGCTGCCTGGCACTGCTGCCCGCGGTGGCGGCAGAGGCAGGAGCATGAGCAGGAGGGTGCTGCACTGCTTCATCGGAGGCGTCACTTGCTCGGCTCATGCAAGGAGCAAGGAAGAGGTGACCCAGGGGCATCTGCCAGTGGCCTGTGCCACCAGGGCTTGGTGAACAGTGAGACATCCTTGCATTAAGTAGACCAGGGACACCCAAACCCCATTATGGTATAAGCCTAAATTAATTACGTTACCCTTCCGATTTTTCTAGAGTCAGTCTTGCTGGGAAAAAAGGCAAAGGATTTTAACACAGGGTGCGGTAGAACTGTAGCAATATTTTCCTTAGAGGGAACACTGAAATATTAGCAGCACAAACAGTACTTGTGTTAATATTTTAGCAAAATTATAATCAATTTAAATGTTTAAATTGATTGTATGTGAGATAATGTTTGTTCAGTACATTGTATTTTTTCTAACTATATAACTGTTCCAGACTTTTCCTTGTAACCGTAAAGAACTAAAGCTCTGTCTGACTGCGGGACGTGTCCTGACCCCTGGTGTAACCATGCTGAATATTACAACATCTGAATGTACGCACCCAGGCCTGCATTGCCTTTCTTTCCTCCCCATCCTCCCACCCGCCGGCGGTGGGATGCAGAACGGACATACACGCATACGCACACGCACACACACACCCCCCACGCACGCTCTCACACCAGTCCCCACCTTAAGAGCAGCAATGGTGAAATGGGGACAACTTCAGCATGTCTTCACCCCTGCTCCGGCCGAGGCACCGTTCTTCTCAAGGTCAGCAGCTTTCTACAGCTCCCCAAATGTCAGTATCACCTTTAACTCGCAGTCAGCAGGGTGAGCGTGTGAGGACCTGGCTGCGTTTTGCTGGGCAGGAGAGGAGGAGGAGGAGGAAGAAGGGGCTTGGGCGCCCCGAGAGGCTTCCTGGCAGCAGGAAGGCAGGACAGATTGCTCCTTGATTAAACTGGAGCTGGGAATAATGTGGCCAGCCACACCAACAGACACCTCG